GTCAACAAGTTTACCTTGACAAGTTTACTTTCTCGTGTGTACAGTCAACAAGTTTTCCTTGACAAGTTTACTTTCTCGTGTGTACAGTCAACAAGTTTTCCTTGACAAGTTTACCTTCTCGTGTGTACAGTCAACAAGTTTTCCTTGACAAGCTTACCTTCTCGTGTGTACAGTCAACAAGTTTTCCTTGACAAGCTTACCTTCTCGTGTGTACAGTCAACAAGTTTTCCTTGACAAGCTTACCTTCTCGTGTGTACAGTCAACAAGTTTTCCTTGACAAGTTTACTTTCTCGTGTGTACAATCAACAAGTTTTCCTTGACAACTTTACTTTCTCGTGTGAATGTTGTTCAATATTTATCTCACGTCAAGGCTGTCGTTTGTTTGCCAAAATCTTTCAAGTATTTCTTGTAAACTTGTCAAGTTATCCTTGGCGGCCGCACACACGAACAAATCTTCCTTGACCAAAAGCTTGGCATGCCAATGAAACCAAGTCATTGCGACGTATTTTCTTAACATTTCTACTGAAATTAGCCGCCCAGTACTTTGAATTTCTCTGAATAATATTTTCTGGAAGGGGGCGGTACATGCTCCCTATAGGTCGCAGTAAAACGTATATAGTCGCATTAAAATATAATATACCTTATACTTGTTTTCGCTCAGTCATATAAAATCATACAATGTAATTTCGTGGCTACTAAATTCACTATTTTCTCGCATTTTAATTTCGCGCAACTTGAAACAGTGCAAGGCTAGAAGATCACATTTAAATTAATTTTTCCGTATTGAAATGACATTTGGATTTTAAAATTGAGTTTGTAAAAATTTCCAAACCGCGCGAACTGAAAAATCCCGAAAAAAAGATAAGCAGTAACACTCAAGTTTAATGGATAATATATATTATATACGTGATTAGAGTTTTGTCCCAACACTCAACAGTTCAAGCGACTACACTACAAGTACATTCTAACTGATTGGTTTTAACATGGCTGCAGTTGCAGCAGTTCGTTTAGTTGTCATTGGCGACAGTTCTCTCCATACATTGGTATTTAAATCTAAATACTCTACTGAATTAAGATATGTTTTAGTTTCAAAATCAAAACCGCCGATAGCAATGATAACATTGCCAGTGATAACTGCTGCACTTGCTGTTCTTTTATGATTAAGGCAAGGTAACATTTTAATTTTTCCAGTTTTCACATCATACATTACTACACTGTTTAATGTTTCAGCTTTCTCATTAACACCTCCGATCAAAATTATATTACCTTTATAACTAACAGTAGCTACACCAGAAATAGCAAATGGCAGTGGTGGTAAGGTTTTGCATTCATTATTGTTCAGGTCATATACGTACACAGTGTTTTTAGCGTCCTTGAGGTATTTTGATGTCATTCCTCCAGCCACCATCACCTGGTTGTTCACGATCTCACAACCATGGTCACACCTTGGCTCTGGCATCCGGGTCAATACTTTTGAGTTATGTGGAGGATCTAGACTGATTTCGTAAATCCCATCTGAAACATTGCCATCGTCACTAAGTCCACCAGTTAGAATGGCACTGTTCTCGTGACAAACCATTTTGTGTCCACGACACTTCAATGGCATCGTGACAGGAGACTCTACCCATTCTAACTTTTCCTCGCCAACATTCAAAGTTTCGATGCTGTCATTGGCCTTGGTCCCATTCCATCCGCCACTGACATATATTTCACGACCATGAATAAATGATGAATGACTTGATCGTACCTGTTTCATTGCTGGTTCCAATGTCCAGGAATTCTCTGGCCAGCTGTATGACTCTACGGAATTAAGACGAGTCTTACCATCATTCCCTCCACAAACGAAAATCTTTTGTTTACCAGTGTACCAGTCACTTCTCTCAGTTGCTTCGTTTGTAATATATTCCATTTCCTCTTGAGTGAGCTTCACTTGCTTTACTTCATCCTTGACTTCCATCACATCATCCTTGACTACCGTCATATCACTCTTGACGTCCTTCACATCATTCTGAACGACGTTCAATCTTCTCGCTAGATCGTCCATTTCTTTTCGTATGAAGCACGGGTGTACACGACTTGACTTCCATATTACTTGTTCTCCACACTCGTCGCAAACGATCTTACGAAACTGACACTGTTCACGTTCGTGTCGTTCTTTCTCGTGTCGGTTCATAACTACTTCACAACCAGCGTTTGTACAACGCGTTGGTGAATAACCACAGCTGTTGACATGCCGATCAAGAAATTCAAGCTTGACGAACTCTGGGCAGCCACGGTTTTCATGATCACAACGAATCATGAGACTATCCAACAATTCCGTCAAAATTCTCGGTGGTTTGGTCAAAGATTCTTCCGTCAGATGGTGTTGACACATCGGGCAAGTTTCGGCGTTTTCGTGCAAACACTTTCGAATACACGAGCGGCAGAAGTAATGCTCATTCGGGCATTGTACTGGATCTTTTAAGACCTTGAGACAAATCGAGCACTGTAGTTTAATGTCTACTTTGTCTTTGAATCTCTCCTCTTCATAGCCACCAAAGGAATTTCGCCTCGCCATTTCTCTTCGAAGCGAACTGAGGAAAACGTTTGGTATGTTTTTGATATCGTTGTTAGAAAGACAGTCTGTAAAGACCTTGTCTCGTTGCTGCTCGTAATGAAAAACAATACTCTGGTGATGTGTCGTTATATCATTGGCTTTCTAAGAATACTATAACTACGTCATAATGCTGCATTACGAATAAATGTTTTGTATCTGCGTCATTCGCCGCCCGAAAAGCCAAATATAATTTGCGGCATAACGAAATTGTATTTACCAGTTGTCTTACTCTTAAGGTCTTTAATATCTTATTGTCACACACAGCTGAGCAGTACAAAACTGGTTCAAACATGGCCAAACATGCTTGACCGATAACTACCAAACCGACTTTGAATAAGGCAAGATAATTGACAAAAAAACCCCATATAAATTGACAATGCAAAGCAAACAAAGAGCAACACTAGAATCCTAAAATGCGGGAATCAACTTAAATTCTGACAATAATTGTAAACATTTACCGGAACAATATTTGTTTGTAAGATCGGAGAACGTCTCCAAATGAATATGTATTTATCCTGGTCGCGCTTCTAGCATTTTTAATCGCGGTGGTGTTATGTTACCTGTGTTGGCGGCATTGCGCCAAACCGATTAACCGTGGCCAAACTAAAAAAGCCACACTCAAGGAGACGTCTGTAAAGGAAGTAAAGTCTCTTGAGTCGAGAAGAGAGATATTGTTTTCCGAATGGTTTTGTAGCAAAATAAACCATGTCTAAATAAGTTACGTCAGCACATAACATACATACATAATCTTTATTTACCCTCGGATTGACGAGGCTAACCTAATACAATCTACGCTATTAAGGAATAAGGTGTCGAGCTGTCAGGATGAGAGTGCATGAGAGTTTATTTTTATTTATTTATTTATTTATTGCGCTTCGCTTCCAAACATCATACAATAATTGCGTTAAAGAAGCTGGGACACCACAACAGCTTAACACCAATTACAGTGGGCCCTTAAGAGATGTTAACGCACTGGCTAAAATCTTGCGAATGAGCAGTGCACATCGACATTGCGATCAAAAGTCCTTGCGCAAAGAGTGGGCCATTGTACGTATGCCGTTGGGGAGTCACGCGACCTTGGTTAGCTGTTCTTGAATTTTGATCGAAGGAACTAGTTTCTGTTCCGAAATATCACTTACTCGAACCGTTCTGACCGCGTAGCTAAGTTGGCAGAGCATTGGGCTAGTATTCCAAAGGTCGTAGGTTCCTGATTCCCACCGTGGCCAGGCATATTTCTCAAGCATACACACAGAGTAACATCACAAACATAACATTGTCATTGTCATTGATGTACCGAAGCATAGATATCAAACTGTGCTCTTTTGTAAGTCAGATAGAGTGTTTTACTGTCGTTCCAATTGAAGTGTTGCTGAAATATTGATTCAATACATTACCTCGGGCTGACCAATTCATTTCATCAAGTTCCTCGAAATATTCATACACTTCCTGTGAAAGAGCCAATTCCAAGTATTTGATCATTTCTGGTCACTTCCTTTCTATTTATGATTGGTTAGTTGCACAAACAACAAAGGTGATTGGTGCATTCAAACTATTCAACAGGAACTTTACAATTATACTAGGAAGTGTATGAATATCTCGAGGAACTTGATCAAATGAATTGGTCAGCCCGAGGTAATGTATTGAATCAATATTTCAGCAACACTTCAATTGGAACGACAGTAATACAACCAACTAAAGTTAATTAAAGAAAATTATGCATAAAATGTTTGTTTTTAAATAACACTCATGGAAATTAGCCTTTCTCACGATGGCGAATATCTGCCATTTTTGGGTGGCATCTAATTCTCGTTAACCAATGCAGGCAATTAAAACAATGTGCATGAAAAGCAATTTTTCAAAATAAACTAATCATTTATACAAAGCAAATTTACCATCCGATTCGTCCAAAAAATATATAAAAAGTTGCTGTTATGTGGACTTATCTCGCAGACTTCGGCTGAAAAACCACACAAAAGTGGCGGCGTGAGAAAAAGGCTAATTGAATTCATTGGACTCTCGTTATATCTTTCTCACTACAAAGCATTATTTATGTTTAAAAACTGGTTTCTTGCCGTAATGTTCAAACTTCTTGACCCAAGAGAGAGTTTACAAGACATCAGACATTGATGTAAGCCAATAAGGCTAATTTCATTCCCATTTTCACTTTGATAAATATACCACTGACATATTTTATCTGATTTGTGATTAAATTATGAACCGAATCATAGATATCAAACTGTGTTCTTTTGTAAATTATAACACAATATTTTAACACAAGCAGTTAAGTTAATTGGGAAACAAGTATGCATGCTTAAAATATTTTCATAAAAATACTTGAATTCAACAGAATCTCGCCATATTTTTCTTGCTACAAAGCTTTACAAAACTATTTTCCAACTTTTTGCCTCAATAGAGAGTGTACTACCAATTACATTCGTAGTTTCGCTTTGATATAAATACCATTGCTATATTTATCAGATGGGTAATTATGAATGGCGCCATGCAGTATTGATATCAAACAGCGTTCTTTTGTAAGTCATAACATAGCGTTTTAGCGCAACCAAACTAAAAAAGTTAATTAAAGAAAAGTATGCATAAAATATTTTCAAGTATTACTTGGAAATTGAATTCATGGGAATCTATCTATATGCTTCTTACTACAAAGCAATATTTTTTCTTTGCTAATGATCTAAACTAACTTTACTTATACTGGATTGCTCTACATGACTGTATCAAGTTCCAAACTCTTCCCCTTAGAGATGCAATAAGAGTCATATTTTGTCCCAGTGTTACCACAGGAGGAAAAATAAACTAAATTAGAAAGCTTTCGTTGGTAGGGATGCAACTACCTGAAAAATACAAAGCGAAATTGGACGTTTCGAGCGAAATCGCATCATCAGGAAGTTAGCTTGTCAGTACATACATAGTCTACATACGTATTTACCCTCGGATAATTGATGAGGCAATATACCACAGAGAGCCCATCCAGGGTCTTATTGAAGTTGTGTATTAGGATTATATAGATATGAAATATATAGCTCAGTGTTGAAGCCTGCGATTTGCGGCCTGGGTTTAACCACTGATGGGTTTAACGCGCACGTTTGCTCTGTACCCAGCCGGCAAATCGCAGGCTTCAACACTGAGCTGTATATTTCATATGTAATGCTAACATAACTTCAATAAGACCCGGGATGTGGGCTCCCTGTGAATATACATGCCGAGGTATACAAACTCCTCTAAAGTTTTTAAAACCATGCATCCCTCACGGTAAACACATTTCTGAGATATTCTGGTGCAAAATGTTTCATAAACTTAAAAATACAAGAATCATCATGTTTTCGAATAGGAACAAGCAAGTTTTAGGCGTGCACGCGATTGATGAGCGAGTTTAGAAATGTGACCTCCTGACCTGTGGCTGAGTTCGATAAAATATATTTTGACTTTGTTTATGTTTGTTATTAATTACATAAAATATAATTTCACCACATTGAAAACCTCTAATACTAAAGCAGTGTAATTAGGTTTTCGAATAGGAACAAGCAGTTTCAACTGTTGTATAAATTATAATTTATATATTACCAACGATATGACCTGCTATATTCTCAATGATTCAGCAAGAGTAACATACTGCTATAATAGCGCCATTTATAAGTCGCGCACGTCTCGTATAAACAGTCAATTATTTGTTCGCAAACATTGACTGTTTATAGGAATCGTTCGCGACTTATTTAAAGGCACAGTTCAGCCTTTTGAATGATGGTTTTTAAGGCGCATTTCAGCCCTTTTAATGGACCTTTCCCCTTATAACTAAAATTTTGATCTAGACAAAAATTTCATAACAGCTTGAAAGAGCATCACAAAATTAGTAATATTCCGAAGTTTCGTTACGAAATGTTGTAAAATGCGGATAATTATAGCCTTGCGAAGTTTGCCGTTTTTCAGTCATTTTGTATTACGCACGGGAAATTGACAGCGCAATCGGGTGTTGGGGCTGCAATTTCCCGTTTGTAATCTAAAATGACTGAAAATTGCAAATTACGCAGGGCTATATTATCCGCATTTTACAACATTTCGCAACGAAACTTTGGAATATTACTAATTTTGTGATGCTCTTTAAAGCTGTGGTGCAATTTTTGTCTAGACTTTGTCTAGATCAAAATTTTAGTTATAAGG